GTTGGAGGGTAGAAGAGGAATACCAAAATTCTAGCTATCTTCTTGCAACGGTCAGTGGGAAAGTGGTAGACAACCTCGTACAATAGTATTATCCTTGCACCATAAAAATAGCATAGTGGAGGCAAGGTGATGTTGTACCTTGTACTATTACTCACGTGAAACCTTTTGATCTTCTCTTCTAATCTTTTGAGGCTTCTGGATGTATAATGGTTGAAGCATGTGTAGAATAATCAAAGCTATGTCTCCAGAAACATATCATCAGAGTCTTCAGAACTTGTTCAATCTGAACCTTGTCTTCAGAGTCTTCAGCACTTAGTCTTTAGAGTCTTCACAACCCTTTTTTCATAATTTTTTGAACTTCATTAACAAAACCTTGTCTTCAGGGTCTTCAGAAGTAGGTCTAGATAACCATAGGTATTTTAAGGTGTGAAGAAAATGCAAGAAATGGGGGTTTTGAATTTGGTTTTCCTTTTTTGAATAACTTTTGCTTCTAAGTAATACTTCTAATTAAGTTAAGAAAACATAAACTCTAAAGAATAAGCAAAAGTAAAGAACATGTGATATATCCTGGTTCACTTGAGAAGCCCCCAAGCTAGTCCAGTCCACCCTACCAAGGTGATTTCACCTTGAACTCAAGGACTTAATCCACTATAACCAATCTGATTACAATCGCACGGGCAACTGCCGGTGACTAACATCCAATGACATGTTCAGTGATCCAGACTGGATATAACATTCATTGACCCAATAGAATATGATCCCTCAGAATCTCCTATCAGGATTTCCTTCCAATGATATCCATCAGTGATCTCACAAGGATGACCTTCACTTAGTCCCCTTTGAAATATGACTATTATTAACCCAATATAATCCACTACCAGGATTTCATCTATGATGACTGCAACCAAAGTCTTCTCAAGTCTTTTGATCTTCACTCGATCACTTGAGGAACCAACAAATTCTAAACTTAATTGTTTTTCTAGAGATTACATGAGTGCTTCTTATCAAGCAAATTACTCCTAATTTAAGTACATATTGTTTGACAAAATTTTGAGCAACAACTCTTGTGTACAAACAATTTACATGAAGATCTTAAGCAATAACACAATTTGAGCAACAACTCTTGTGTTTATTACATATTTCTACAAAGATTAATATAATCTAAGTTAAATGCAGCATCTTGTAGTCTTATTGTCTTCATCTTCATCATTGAGCAAGCTATGAGCAACAACTCCTTGTTTCTTCATAATTCTGTCAAGATGTATATGATTGATGATTTGAATTACATCTTGTAGAATTCTTCATCTTCATATTATTTCTTAATTAAGCAAGATATGAGCAACAACTCCTTGCTTTTTCATAATTATGCCAAGATGTATATGATTGGTAGTTTAAATAACATCTTGTAGAATTCTTCATTTTCATCTTATTTGGTTAGCTTCAACATGTTCAACATAACTTTTATTCTTGTTGTTATTATAGTGGTTGATAGCTTTTTGGTTGTGTTCCAATAATGACAGCTTTTATTTTAATATTGAACACCAACTTTAAACATGTGATTATTTTCTTATATTGCCAAGAAAAATAAAGCCGTTGGCTATTTGAAAAAGAGTCTTACAAATAGTACTGCTACGTCCTTTTCTCTTCCACAATTCAAGCTAGTGGAATAAGGCTTTTCGTACTGTGTACTATTGTACCATGTTACTGTTATATTCTTTCCTTCTGCATTTCAGAGGCTTCTGTGAGCATGATTTTAGAAGTGAGAATATAACATGAGGTCTTCAGAGTCTTTAGAACTGTGTCTTTAGAGTCTTCAACACTTGGTCATGAGAACCCGTTGTAGAGAACCTTGGACCAGAAAAGCTTCAAGTCTTCAGAGTCTTAAGAGTTGTGTCTTTAGAGTCTTCATCACTTGGTCTCGAGAACCCGTTATAGAGAACCTTGGATCTTTAGAACTTCAAGTCTTTAGAATCTTCAGAACTTTCATCTTTAGAATCTTTAGCACCTGGTTCTTTAAGAATCCTTTTAAGAACCTTGTTATTAGAAACACAAGTCTTCAACATTTGGACTTTAGTAAAAATGTTGTCTTCAGATCTTTTAACTTTGCCTTCTTAAAATAAGTTGTCTTTTTAGAAACTAAGTTTTTAGCATCTGGACTTCAGTAGAAACGTTGTCTTCAGATCTTATAACTTTGTTTCTTTAGAACATATTGTCTTTAGAAACTTGAGTCTTTAGCATCTGGACTTAAGTTAAAACTTATGTCTTTAGATCTTCTGACTATTTCTTTAGAACTCGTTGTCTTCAGAAACATGAATCTACAACATCTGGACTTAAGTAGCAACTTCTATCTTTAGATCTTCTGATTGGTTTCTTTAGATAAACATCAGAGCTTACACTTCAGAGTCTTCTGGAGTGTCTTGCTACTGTTTAACATAACTTGTGTAGTGCAAAAGCGGAACTAATTCTCTTCTAATGTCTTGGCTACACTATCCATCAGAAGCAGAATCTGTTTGTTAAGTACTCAACAAGAATAAATATTAGAGCATCGAAATTGTTCATACAAACACACTCATTTGTTATCATCAAAACTTAGAGACAATATTGCAGAACCAAATCTTGTTCTTACAGTATTTCCGAATCTTCAAAACTCATTTAGCAGAACCTTGTCTTTAGAATCTTCAGAACTTCGACAAGAGAACTTGGAATCTTCGAAGCTTGAGAACATATTAGAAGCTATACAATCAGATTCACTGTTAGAAGCTTTAAAACTAACATTCTATGAGAACGTTGGTTTAGACACATTCTAAGCTATGAAACACAAACTTGTATCCCTTAGTGTGTTGAGTCCATAATTTGATGATGTCACACGTCAATACTTCAGAGTCAGAACCTATTAGCAAAATCTACACACTAAATAAACCATTAGGGTACTAAATTATCATCTAATTACCCATGTAATGTTATCATCAAAACTCAAGGCCAGATGCAAAAGCAAATCTTATTCTTACATTACCTTTTTAGAAATTTCACAAAAGATGCGTCCTCCAACAATATCAGAGACTTTGGAATCTTAAAAGCTTTTAAGGTCACTTCTCATCTTTCTAAAGCCTCCAACATAATTGAAGTAATTTAGAAGCCACCTCTCCAATCTTGGATCAAGTGCAATACTAATGGAACTTCTCTTGAAGTCTTGGGTCATGCTGCTTGGTGGAATTCTTAGAGACTACTCCTCCAACCTCACTGGATGCTTTGTAGAAAATTTGGGTCAAAACTTTACTCTTCATACAAAATTTATTGGAGTCATGAAGGCCATTGAAATAACTTTTGAGAATAATTGACTATATCTTTGTATTGAGACAAATGCTAAGTTTGTTTCTTTAGCTTTCAACAATATTAGTATTGTTCCTTGACAACTTAAAAATAAGAGGTTAAATTGTATATATAAAACTAACAAGACTTTTATTTTGTCCCATATCTTTAAATAAGAGAAGCAATGTGCTGAAAAATTAACTTTACTTTCCATTCAAAGTTTTGTTTGGTGGAATGAAACTCTTTTATTTATTTTTGCATACTTAGTTCATAATAAGCTTAGACATCCATGCTTTAGGTTTTTTAGGTTTTGTTAAACCTTGAGGGTTTCGGCTCTCTTGTACCTTTTTTGATTTTCTATTTATATAATTTTGGTTGTTTAAAAAAATTATAATTTATTTATTTTAAATTTATAATTATTTTTATGTGATAATAAAATGAAGAAAATGAATGTATGTAGAGTGTTAGTTGATATTTTTGTTGTTAAATTGAAAGTAAAATGTATTTAGGGATGAAAATGAGCTCAGTTGAATTCAATTTGACTCAGTTTAATTCGATAAAAATTGATTTAATTCGATAAAAATTAATTTATTTTAAAATTCAATTCGAACTTGACACAATTTTTTTAAAGTCTAACTCAATTTGTTTTAAATTCACGAATAATTCGATTCAACTTGTTAGATTCATCTCATTATTTCTATTCGTTTGCATCACGAATTTATTAGTTATTTTAAAAATTTTTTTTTTTTGTATATTTGACATTTATTTTTTAAAATAAAAAACATTAAATTAAAAAACATTAAATTAAAAATAGTGGATTAAAATTTAAAATAATTCTTTAAAAATCTAATATATATATATATATATATATATATATATATATATATATATATATATATATATATATATATATAAAATTCATTTTTATTTAATAATAAAATTTAATTTATTTAATTAACGAACTTAATTTTTTATTTATATTTAATTTGTTTAGTTTATAAATCAAATTCATCGATTTAATTGTCAAATTAAATTTTAAATTATATTCAAATTGTTCACTTCATTGTCCGTTCTAATATATAATTGTATATATTTTCATATTTTTAAAGAGAAGATATCAACAAAAAAAATCTTTGGATATCCTAAAACTTACAAATTATTGTTTGATGTACCTAGCCGGTATGAGACAAATACTACATGATACATGTATTTTATTTAACATGATGTGTAGCTGTAGACTAATATCCGAAATTATAGATTATCATTTTCTTTAAAAATATATAAAAAATCGTTCAAATTAGCCTTTAACATTTTGATATTTGATATTTCGATATTAGAGATTAAATTTGGCTGGTTTTAATATTCGACGCGCTATTTGTTTTATTTATAGAATTTAGTGATTAGTGATTAAATTAAAGAGATAATGATAATTTAAAGACTAAATTAAAAAAACATTGTAAAAAGAAAATCTTAATAATTTTCTTGTTTATTTTGCTTTGGTTAGGTTGAAGAAAACGCATCAACAAGAAGACGATTTCTGATTCGAGGTATCGCTGCGCTGATAAGAAAAGGTAACAACATATCAAAACCCTTTCTCATTCCGATTTCTGAATTTCATTTTCGATTTCATTTCACAATTTAGGGTTTATATAACCATCGAATTTGGGGGAATTTCACCAGAACAGAAAAAAATGGGTTTCATAATGGAATTCGCTGAGAATTTGGTTTTGAAATTGATGGAAGATCCAAAGGAAAGGGATCGTAGATTCAGGGAACACGTCTATAAGGTGAAAGACCGATGCGCAAAGACCAAGGAGATGTGGAGTTACCCTATGCGGCCATATGGGTTTTGGACATTCGAACGCCACAATTCTCAGCTTGCTTGGGATGCTCAGATTAGTCAAGTTGCTGGTCGAAGAGACCCTTATGATGATATCCTTCGTCACTACCCCGCCTCTTCTAAATAAGGTCGCTGTTATTCAAATCATATTCTTGTCATATATGATATTCTATTTGTTCATTTGATTGTTATCTATCAAGCGCCGATGCCGGCACTCACACAATACTGATACTGACACGTTGATAGTGATGGTTGTTTATAGTGATATTGATATTGGGGCGTAGATACAAATATTAATTTAAGAAAACCTAAGTGATTGAAATGTACTACACGTGTTCGTCTAATCGTCGGACATTCCTTCAAAACTTTGGTCCTCTACATATGTATGTAGAGAGGTTTAGGTTAGTTTCAAATTATGGATTTGGTTAGAAATATTATTGATGGTGAAACTTTGCATATTTCATGTCACTTTTATTAGTTATTACTTATTTACTGTATGAGAAACTTGATCTTTACTGAGGCATATGAGCAGAATTAATGAATTGCTGCATTTTTTTCTTAGACCGTATTTGGATAAACAGCTTAATAAAGTGCTTATTGTATAGGTGTTTATGTATATGTTGTTTTTATAACAGAAGATCAATAACGTCGAACGGTTTTCATTGGATATCCTGGGTCATAGGCTTAAAATTTTTTTACAGTTGTAATAAGTTGTTTATATATGTAATTATTAATTGCAACCGTCTCATTATAAGTCAATCCAAACAAACCCTTAAACACATTTGATTACTTTATAGTTTATACCACTTTTAATTATTTCTTTGATGTATTGTTTGAAAGCAGAAGCTACCTCTCATGCTACAATTTTGGGCACAAGCATAGTTTTCCTAAGTTTATAAATCTCTGTCAATTATACTGTTTTGAATGTTTTGGCGAGGATATAATTTTAGTCAGAATTGCAATACTTTTGTTATGCTTATGCAATGTCTTTTATACTCATATTTGGCTGTGTTTTTAATTTTTATTGCAGTGGTGCTGAACTTTGTCTCAACTCACAAGCTTTCTGGGTGAAAACGTGGGAATTTGTCGTGGGAATTTGTCATATTTCCTTTTTGAATATTCTGTCCCGTTGTGTGTTGCACTGACTACACCGGGTTTGTAATGCACTAAATTGGTGTTTCAAATAAAGTTTCCGTAGAACTATTGTGTTATATTATATATTTTTTTCCATTGAGAATTTAAATTATTCGCCAATTGCTCTTCCTGCCTATTGGTTTTTATTATCTCCTTATTTACATAGTCGGGAGATTGTTTGTTTCAACCTTGTTTAACATATCTTTTTTCCTGCTTTTTATAGCTCTTTTATAAAACGTAATGATTTGTTATTGTTTCATCGTGGCTGTTCAATGCTTCCTATATTTCATGGCAGCCTCAGGTGTTGAGACAGAGCAAGTACTAAGCTAAGTTGAGCTTATCATAATGAGAGGATGATCACAAAGATACATATAGATATAGTCATCCGCCTTTTAGAAATTTTGTTTTAGATTAGTGCATTGTTCCCACAAATTATGAACTCTTCTAGTTGTTGTAGGTGTTTGTATGGATGTCCTTATTTCCTCCCTCTAACAATGTTAGAATGGGACTGGACCCAAATTAAGGAACTCTCAGGTTTAATAATACAACTTTTCATAGAAAATTATTTTCTTCCAGTAAGCACTTCGTCATGCATTTCCAGAAGAAACCATGATTAATCAACTTTATGTTAAGACTTGCATGCAGTTTGACATTTTGGGGATGTTTGGAAGAATGTATTTGCACTTATATCATGAAGCCAATACATATACCAGTGCTTGGTCAAACTTATATGTTTGTAAGTTGTTTTCAACTTATATCAATAAGCCCTATGGGATCTTCTTGGTTAGGTTCCTTATATGAGATCTTAGTTAGTAGTCAGCCAGATACATTAAGCAGCAATTGATTTTTTTTTGAGAGAAATGGTGGCTTTTTTTTCTTTCAATAGTTGCTGTCCTATACTTTGTTACAATTTGACTTGTCATAATATTTTCTTGAAGCATTAAGTTGCTGATTTATTTTTGTTTCATTGCTCAATGCTTTCCTAAAATGTGGAATTTGACCGGAAATATTCTTTCATTAACATATGTTATCCAAAAATACAGTTATATATTTTGACAGATTTTAGCATATAGGAGGCGAACTGAGAAATCACCTAATTATGTTTAGATTTGCATGTAGTTTATCAAGAATTTGGTCTTCTGTAAATGAATTCATGCACATTTACAATTTGGTGGTGGATTATATGTGCTACTGCTGCACAATGTAATTGGGGGTTTTCTATGTTTAGTTGAATCCAAGTAAATAATTGAAAACTCTTTCATGAAATGATCTCATTTCCAACTAAAATCTAGCGGTTCCATTGTTGCACTCATCAGAAAACAAAATAGTAATGATTATTTAATTGATCTTGTTTAAGTTTCATGAAAAGAAACTATCAAACAATATAATTGTTACAAACATGTGATGCTATTTCTCATAAGGTTTATAGTGGAGTGGGTTCACCATCAATAGCAAGAAACGGAGGGTGTGACTCATATTGTTGAAAGCCTAAAAGAGATTAACTATGTTAGAGTAAATTTCTGTTTCACTGACGCGTGGATTAAATTTGACATACTTTGATTATACCAATTAGAATTGATTTTGTCTTTAAAAATATTTTCAATTCCAATTTGGAATTGGGAGTTGTAATTTTGGACTCCAAATGCAATTTTTTCCACTCATTTTTGTTCGAACTCATTTTTAGGAATGTTTCTAAATGTAAACAACTTTATATAGTTAATCTCTTTTAGGCTTTCAAAGAAGAATTAAGTGATGGGTACTAATTTTCTCTCTATGATGATTAGCAATATTGAGAGCGATACATCCATCAATAAAGAAGAGATATCGTCGGAGAATATGATTAAGTGCATGTATATAAGCTATAAAGAAGCTATAAAGTGTAGATTTTATATCAAAGTGTAGATTCTATAAAGAAGTTGTTTTGGACTGGGCCTGTCCTTGGCCCAATCATCAGTGAGGTTCAATCCAAACTTGCCAACATACTGTGTTGAGCAGTATATCCTTCGAGTATACCCCGATCATGGGTATCTGGTCGGCTATGATTGTTTTTCGTCGGTGCTTGCTAAGAATGTCTCCGACGAGCGCGTGCTCTCATCGAGCACCCTCCTCGTAGGACTGACTTTCAAACCTCTCTGGATTTCGCGGAGTCTTCATGGTTCCGGGAAGACCGCGTCTTTATCCTCCCTGTCTTGCGGAGGGCGTCATCCAAGTAGGGGGCCACGTGCAGGTCCCCACTACTCACGTAGAACCTGACAGTCTCTTTGTTGGGTCTGTTTGATCAGCCCAATAAAGAGACCTTGATCCAGCGCTGGGGGCTATAAATACCCTCTATTTCAAGAGGGTCAGGTATTCATTCATTCACACCTCATTCATATTTGCTTGCTCATTTCGTCTCTCACTTTACCATCAGAGTGTCTTGCAGGTACCCCCCCCCCCCCCCTCATCTCCTTCAAATTCAGCCCGAAGTCAGCTGTGACAGTCTAACTCTGATCAGGTCCGATCAGTGGCGCCGTCTGTGGGAATCTAAGTTTCTCCGTCTTCTCTCGGTTTAAAAAACAAAAGCTAACAATCCTCGACTGTCATGGCTGACCAAACTCAAGACAACCATAACGTCAGTGTCATCGACGTTAACAACAACATCACCGACAATAATGCCGGCCTCGACAACGTCGGTACCGCTGGCCATAATACGGTCCCTGGCGTCAACATCCTCGGGCCTTCTAACTACCGGGACGGAGCCACGACTTCTTCTTCATCAATCCCTCATCGACTCGAAGAAGATCAACCAATTCCTTTGAACTACCCAGCCGTCCAATTCCACGAGGTCCCCGTCCCCGCCGGGGCGGACGCCACAACCAGGGCACTGTTTGCGGCGATTAACCAAACCAACTATCTCATCTTTTCCCAGGGGGAAAGACTGAGAGCACTCGAGGACGACCGAAGGCCCCCTAGAAGGCACAGAAGACCTCAATCTCCTCCCCCTCGACAAGCGGACGAACGTCCCCGATCTCCCCCGCAGAGACAGAATCGGGACATCTCTCGAAGCCCGTCGCCTAGACCACTCGGGCGACGTCCCCCTTTGGAGAGGGAACCACTCACCGACGCGGAAAGGCGCAACCATGGCCCCTCGCGGCAAGAACGAAGACTTCCTGGAGACAGACACGAGGGAAACCATCAACGATCACACCGCTCGAGGAACGTTCCGCGCGACCAGGGCCACCATGACCGCCAATACATCGGATCCCCGTCCCGCTCCTCGGAACAAAGTGACGAGGACGACCCCCGCGGTCCCTTGTCACAAGCTATCATGGAGGCTCCCATTCCATCGGGCATGGAGAAACCTCCCCACTTAAAGGAGTACGACGGCATCGCCGACCCGGTCGACCATATAGACGGGTTCGAAGCCATATTGCACTATCACAATGTCGGGGGACCAATCAAATGCCGATTTTTCCCCACGAATCTGAGGAAAACGGCTATGGACTGGTACAAAGGTCTCGCCCCGGGGTCAATTACCTTTTGGAAAAACCTAAAGAGCTAGTTCACTGCTTCGCGATGACACCCGAAGATCGAAGCAATGCTCGAGGCCATCGTCCAGAAGCACGATGAGACATTGAGAGAATTCATTAATCGCTTCAACCGAGAAGCCATCTAGGTCCCCTGCACGGACCATATGAAGAGATACCTGCTGGAGAGGGGGCTCCTCCCTGGCACCGAATTCAGAAAAGTCGTGGGCATCGAACCACCCAGACGTTTGATGCCCTCCTCGAAAAGGCCAGGGCCTACATGGACTACAAAGAGAGAGAAGCGGCCAACAAAGCCCGAGACCCCAAAAACTGCGGATCCAGCAGCAATCCGCGATAAGACATCGCCCCTCCTCGACGAACTGGAGAAAAGAGAAGGGACGATAAACCCCGGGACGCCCGAGAACAAAGGGGACCCTCGGGGAGGTTCACAGAATACACTCCGCTTACAGCTTCCCGCGAGCACATCTTAGCGGAGTGCGCAAGTACAGATTTCAAGGACAGCGACGTCAAACGTCCCCGCCCAGCTCCTTCCAAGTCTGGGGTGGACCGAAGCAAATACTTCCAGTACCACTGGAGCCACGGGCACCTGATCAAAGACTGCATCCAACTCAAGGACGCCATTGAGACCCTCATAAAAGGGAGAAGACTTGCACAATATTGGCAAAACGACGCCCCCTATCGGGACGCCCGTGAGACAAGGGAAGAAGAAGAGGATGCCCAACCATTTGACGAGTTGGTCCCCATCCAGACATCATTCTCTGTCACAAGACCCGAGGACTTCTATGTCCCCGAACATTTGCAAGAACCTCTGTCCACGCACAGCAGGCGGGAACACTTCTCCTCCGTCATGGTCATCAATGGTGGAGGATTCAATGATTTGACCATAAATTCATCTAAGAGGAAGCTAGACGAGCTAGTCGATACGCCCCCCCCCCCCCCCTCAAAAGGTGACCTTTGAAAGGGTGAGAGGCAGATCTGAGCCAATCACCTTCTACCTCGAGGAACTCCCCGGAAGGCCCCCTAATTCGGCCATCCCTCTCCTGATAAAGGCAAGAATGGCCAACTTTGATGTACATCGCGTCCTCGTCGACGAGGGAAGTTCCGTCGACGTGATGCACAGCCAGC